TCCAGCAAGCTGCGTGACCTTCGCTGTTCTCTTAACCTCCCTGTGCTTCAGTGTTCTCATCTGAAGATTGCACTGGTCTTTGAGATGTCTCTCTCCTGGCTGTGCTCTTACACTGCATGAAACAGCAGTGCACTCTAGTGGAGGAAATGGTTGGTGGTTTTGTACGTTGTGCCATGATTTTTAGCTTAAAGAGTCATAAACCAGTTCATAAATGAGTCACCCATAAAAAGCAGGTGACATAGAAGCTAACATTAGGCTTCAGAATTAGCCCTAGAAAATCTGGGTGGAAAATGTGTTTTTACAGGATTCTCTACCAACAATCACAAATACACACCAATGCACATCACTGTCAGCTCCTCTTTACAAACCTTTCACAATCACATCATGAAACATCTGAAAACTTTCTTCAAGATCCAGGAAGAACTTGATGTATATAACAGATGGCAGGGCCGGCCCCGTGGCTTAGCGGTTAAGTGCGCGTGCTCCGCTGCTGGCGGCCCGGGTTCGGATCGCGGGCACGCACCGACGCACTGCTTCTCCGGCCATGCTGAGGCCGCGTCCCACATACAGCAACTAGAAGGATGTGCAACTATGACATACAACTATCTACTGGGGCTTTGGGGTAAAAATAAAATAAATAAAATTATATAACAGATGGCACGTGGGCATTGGAACTCAACAGATCTTTGCTGGAATTCCAGCGCCACCCATGGATGTTCTTGGAAAAATTATCCCCTCTATATCTCATTTTCCTCAACTATAAAATAGGTTTAGTAATACTGCTCTCTTAGGTTATTATGAATATTAAATGAGATAGTTTCTGGGTTGTTGCCAGGACATAGTAAGGGGCTTCTGGGTCAGTGCCCAGCACACATTAGGAGCATATACATTGCTCATTTTGTTTTTATTAATATCTCCATTTTCTCTTAGAGAAGCCAAAAATCAAAGGAAGAACAAGCCTGGAGGTTTAAGGCACCAGGACACACCAGTGGATTGATGTTTTTAGTTGGAGCAAATATGTGTATGTGTGCAGGAGGGAAGGTCACATTCCACAGGCCAACTCTGACCAAGGCTTGAACCAGCCTTCTCTGCTGTGCAACTAGCCATTGTGCAGTAAAGGCTATGGTTTAGGGAGGGTGGGAGAGACGTGGGGGGAGAAGGGGAACCAGGAAGGATGTTATTTGTAATGGTTCAAGCAGGAGACTTGGGCCAGTAGCAATGGAACTAGAGAGGCGGGGACAGATCGGAGACTTCTTCAGAAAGTAAAATAATGGAGTCCTGATGGTGCTTTGGATCTCAAGTGGGACAGACTGAGGTGCCCGTGATGCCTCACAGGTCTGGGGCTTCGGTGACTGGGTAGGTCTCCAAGGGACCTCCCATGGAGAAGGTGAACTCAGGAAGAGAAGCAGACTTGATTAGGAAGACGCTGAGTTCCCTTCTGAAACATGTTGACTTAGGTACCTAAGGACTTCTAAAAGGCAGTGTCCACCAGAATTTGTACCTGTTTGGGATTCAGGAGAGAGAAAGCAAGGGCCTGTGGTCACTGCAGAAAATGAAATGGCCAGTGCAAGGGATAAGCCTTGCTTGGGCAGAGGAAACAGCCACCAAACAGCTTTCTTTCCTGGAGAGGATTCTACAAAAGACGTTCCCGAGGACAGTTGGGCAGAATCTGGACTCGAGAGTCTTAAGAGATCATCTAGTCTAGATCTCATTTTGTAGATGAAGAAACTGGGGGCCGAGATGCCCCACGGGCCTTCTCCAGGATCCCACTGCAAGTGCCACCAGGACCAGCCCCCAGTCTCCCAGGGCAGCCCCTTCTCCACGCTGGGGGTCTCCATCTCTACTTCCTCCCTTGGCTGGGATGGGCTAGGCTGAGGAAGGCTGTAGGAATGGCCAAAAGTGAAAAGAGGATTAGGGACAGGAGCGGCAGCAGTGATGGGACAAGGAGGAGAGAGCAAGGCTCAGTAGGGCCCTGAGCACATGGCTCCAGCACATTAGTAAGGACCAACAAGCTAACAGGGAGGACCCTTCACAGAAACCACCTTGCCAGCTGGAGAGTCGCTCACCTTTCAAATACATTGTACTCGGAGAAAGGGTTTAGGCCAGCACTCTTCAAACCTATTTTGCTAGCATTCTCTTAACACATTTACTGTTAGTACCCAATTAATCAAAATATCACAGATATGTTACGAATTTTTATATACATGATTAAACAGGAATCTCTTAATCAGATGGATGGATTTTTCTTTAATTGGTTCATGTATCCTAGAATGAATAAGCAGGGTTCTGCATCAATATTCTGATTTTTCACTTTTAGAGTTGTAAATGTCGAGAAACCTTGATCAGATAAATAAGTTGGTGGGACTGAAAAGAATGTCATTTAATATTTGAGTTACTAAAGTACAGGTCAAAAGTGCTCTATCATTGGAAACGATTTTGCATGGTCTATGATCTGATGGCTGGATTAGGCTCTTCTCTGAGGTTGTTGAAGGCAAAGAATTGGAAACACTAACCTTGCAAAAGGAGTTTTTACCCAGTCTTGTGCTTCCTCAACACCTACACCAATATTTCAGATTGTCCCTTTGTTTGGCATCCCCCAAAGCTTTTTACACCCCAGGGCAACACACCATGGTAAAGAGGGAAAAGGGTGGTTGTGACAGAGGGCTCTGCCACCAATTCTAGTAGAGCAACACAGGAGCTGAAGATGTAGAAACCAATTCCTTATCATTGTTTATATACGCCTTGGAAAATTCTCCAAATTTTGTACCTCTGAGCCAGGGCTAGGACTAGTGAGGTGAGCAAGGCACTCACAAAATTTAAGGAAACTCAGTAATCATGATAAACACCCAAAAAACTCAGTAATCATGATAAATAACATTTTAACGTGATATTTTTAAAAATCAAAATCAATGCAAAAAAATCCATGATGAACAAAACGTCAAAATTTAAAATAAAATCAAGATCCCCGGACAGGTATAGCCCAGGTTGAAGTCCACAGGTCTCAGTGTCCCAAACGTAAGAGTATTCGTGGCTGATTAAAGATGGGTGACAATTCTCTTGCCCATACTGCCACCTGCTGCTGGAAGCAGGCAATGCTTGCTGCCTGCCCAAGGCGTGCCACGCAGTGCCTCTCCACCAGCACCCACACTCACGTACAGAGGCATGGCGCCCTCTTGCGGGCAGCCACCCACTTCTGGAACTTTGAATAACCCCTGGCCACCTACATACATCCTGCGAGAGAGCTGAGTGAGCCCAAGACTCAATGTTGCAAGACCTAGACTTGAGTCTCAGCTTTGCCTCTGGGCCATCATGAACAAACCGCATCACCCTACTGAGCCGCAGTTTCTGCACCTATGAAGGGACTCATTACCTCTTCCCGTAACTGAATTACATGAGATGCTTTCTGGGACAATGCCAAGCAGACTGTCTGTTTACAAAGTGTGCCCACAATTCACTGTAAGCTACCTCCCCCAGCCCACCCCACCGCCATGGATCAAATCAAACTATCTCAATTTATTACTGAAGGCAAGCTTGACACACTAAATGACAACCAGGAAGAAAAGGTGCTGCAGAAGTCCACACAGTGGAGAATGCCACGGCTGATGGGATAAGGAAGACTTCCCCTGGGAGATGTCGCTAGAGCCCAGCCTACGTGGTTGGATGGGCTGAGTCACACCAGGAGCTGGCCAGGAGCCTCTGGGAATCACTAGGCCACTTCTGATGTTTTATTTCAGGAAAGTTCCAGGACATGAAGCGAGCATCACAGTGGTGGTGGAAAGGCCAAGGTCCTTGGAATCAGCCCTGGGTTAAATCCTGGCTCTGCTGTGTGACCAAAGGAAGTCACTCAACTTCAAAGGAAGCCTCGACTTCCTCTTCTACAAGATGGGATAATAGCACATCTTGTCCTGGGTGGATCAGATTAATAAGACAACGTACTTAAAGTTCCTGCAATATGGGGGGCTCAATAAGTGGTAGCTGTTCTTGCTAGCAGGGAGCTTTCTGTGAGGAATGGGAAGGAAGGGGACACACCAGTCAGGGATTGTTGGAATTGTCATATTTGGCTCCTAGACCAGCCCCCAGAGTGTGCTGGGGAAAGATGAGGCGGCAAATCCCTCTGTGGGCAGCCTCTGTTCTCAGTCCCCAGCCCCACCCCCAGCAGGACTCAGCATGTCAGTGCATCACAAAATGGATCCACAACAAGCAGGGGTAGGGGGTGGGAGTGTCCCCCCTCCCCTGGAGTTGGGGAGGGGATACTGGATTCCAACACATGGAAGTGGAGTTTACAAAAGGAAGCCTGGAAATCTGAATAATGGCTGTAACAGATAACAATACCATATCAGAGTTAATTTCCCAACTTTGATAACAGTGCTGTGCTTAAGTAAGAAAATGTCCTTGCTTTCAGTAAACATACTGAAGTATTGAGGGGTCAGGGGGCATCATGTATGCAATTTACTGTCAAATCGTTCAGAAAAAATAAAAGGATGAAGCAAATATGGGAAAATGTTAATGTTCGGGAAATCTGGATGAAGGGTATACAGGAATTCTTGCAACTTTTCTAAGTAGGAAATCATATAAAAAGAAAAAAGGCAGCAGCAGTCCGGGCTTCTCTGTCTCCCCTTATTCTTTTCCTCCTCCCTCTCCTCAGGCCTCCTCTCCGTCCCCTGTTGAGAATCCATACGTGGTGTGAAAGGCGTGTGTCCAGCTCCCCTTCCTTCGCCAGCTCCCTTGTCACCTCCTTCCACACGCCCTCTCCCCGGGCTTTCCGCCGGGCTCCTGGAAATCTCCCGCCCCCGCGGACGCAGCACAGACCACAGCGACTCTCCGCCAAGCTGCACCGACTTTATTTGCAAAGAGAAGGGTACCTGCCGAGCGGGGATCCGGGGCTGGAAGGTCCCCACGGCCGCTTTTCCGGCCCCCCATGACCCCCGGCCCTCCTTCGGCCCCCGACCCTCTCGCCACTCCGACCCTCTCAGCCCTCCCCCACCCCCCACCATCCCGCTCCCTGTGCCCCGCCCGCCGACCCCGCGCCCCGCCGCCGGCTACACGATGGCGAACTGGCAGATGTAGGGCAGCTGGTCGCGGCAGCGCTTGTCGAACCACTTGCCGTTGGCCGCGCCGGACAGGGCGGCGCAGTTCTCGGCCTTGCCGCCGTCGGGCTGCGCGGTGATCTCGGTCTCCCAGTTCTTGTAGGCGATGTGGCCGCCGGTCATGTCCACCCAGGCGCCCTCGGCCGCCATGTCGTTGAGGCCCAGCCAGATCTCGGCCTCGGCGCCCACGGCCTGCCGCAGGTACTCGTACAGGGCGTCGTTCTCCGCGCCCGTCTGCGGGGTGCCCAGCGTGCCCCCGCGCGAGATGCAGTCCTCGCTCGCCTCGTGGAAGGTCTTCGTCTGGGTGAAGGCCAGAAAGCACTTCATGTGCACCTTGGTGCCCTTCAGGCAGACTGGGAGAGGGAGAAATGGCCGTCACCGCACGTCTCCGCGTTCCCGAGCCAAAGAGCCAACCGCCAGGGGCGGGCCCGTCATCCTCCATCCCATCCCCATCCAGCCCATCGGTCCTGGACGGCCCCCGGACCCAGGCAAAAGGGCCGCGCTGCGGTGGACACTGATGCAGAGCCCAGATCCCCGTTCAAGAGGTCGTGGCGCTCCCGCTGCTGGGAGTGAGGTCAGCCCTCAGCTGCAGACAGCCCCTAGCTCAAGGTCACACTCCTTTCCAGGAGGCCACGTCCAGTGCGGGAGGGATGTGGGAGTGTAAAGTCGGGTCATCTCTGCCCAAGGCAGGATAATTCTCAAGGGCCCTGTCAGCTTCGGTGCTCCGTGGGGTGGCAGAGGATGGCATTGTGTCTGCACTGCTCCCACTCCCCCCTCTCCCCCTCTGCTTCTTCCCCTCCCTTCACAGGTGGGGATCCAAGGGCTTTTCCTAATAAACCAACTCCATCTCAGAGTGGGCTTCCCAGGGAGCCCAGCCAGAGCCACCCGCTCCAGTCTTCCAGCCACACCCTCCATAAGAGTAAGCAGCTTGCAGAGCTGGGGACTTGTCCCGCCCCAGAGCCTAGACCACACTCCAGGTACCAGGACCCCACATCCCTGCCCAAGAGGCCCAAGGAAGCTCCCAGCACCTGCCGGGGTCCTCTTCCCTGGTCAGTGCTCCTGAGAGCTGGTTGGGGTGGGGGCTGGGAGGATGGAGCCAAGACTGCGAGACCCCTCAGACAGAAGAGATGGCACAGGCTGTGGGCCAGGGGCTGGCTCCTTCAGACACAGAGTCTTGAGGAGTCCAAGAATTCTAAATTTGAGTCTGGCCTTAAGGGTTGTGATGAAGGTGTATATTCGGTCATTAGGAGGCTAGAATGTGGTTTTGCTTAGTAGTTTGGTCTTGAGCTGGGTTTATAACTTACATATTTAGACAGATGGGGTGTGTGTCTCCGTTTGTCCTCTTGCAGCAGACCTTGCCGATGTTAGGGGTGAATCTGCACTTCACCCCCCATCCCGTCCACTCACTCACACACCTGCTCCTTCATTCCACTCCATTCTCTCAGAAAACATCTCCACATCCCCATGGGCATCCAACACTTGTGGAGCTCTAAACTTGGGGCCTGAAGCGTTACAGAGGTGTCTTGACTCTCAGACTCTGTCCCAAGCCAGCCGGCCCTACCTTGTGCCATCCTGCAGTTTATCCAAGCCAGCCTTCATTGCCCTTCCCAGCCTGGCCCCAGGGACGCTGTGATATGCTGTCTAGTCCCCCTTTGGGGATGAAGAACTTACTACCCCAGCTGCTGGGAGTGCTGCGGTAAGAGGCCCTTAGCTCTCAGTCCCCTTTGGGGATTGCCTCAATGGACGACAGCCACCACGCCCAAGGCGCGCCCCTCCCCAGAGCAGCCTGCACCCAGGGACTGGCCATGAGCCCTCCTGCCCCAACTCAGGACAGCTCTGAGGGGTCGTCCGTCGTCAGGACTCGCTCTGCAGTCGCCTGAGGCTCTCGTTGAGGCCACAGCGCAGCTCGGTTTCTCCCTCTGTCCACTCTTGCTTCCTCCTGTCCCTCCCCTTCCCCAGGTGCCGACCCTAAGGGTGCTCCCTAGTAGACCTCCTGCAGCCACACTCCACCTCAGGGCTGCTTCCCAGGAACCCTACCTGTAACACGCCCTCCAGCACACTGTTAGTCCTCAGGAAATGTTAGTCCTAGTACGTTATCATCGTTACTAACATTTTGTTGCTCCCATCTATTCATGATCTTGTTGATTCATGCTAGCCCTTCTCCATGTCTTTGCACCTGCTGTGCCCTCTTTATCCTCCTACACATGCTTTAAGGGGTTCAGTGAATACAGTGATCCCATGAATATATGGAGGCTCCCAGAGAGCAGGGCTCTGGCTGGGTCACTTCTGCCTCCTTTAGCCTGGCAGAGGCACTCTGGGTGGGGACCTCACATGTGTTTGCTGATTGGGAGAGGGAAGAGACAGATGGTGGGAGGGGAGAATTGCTCCCCTAACCTCTAAGTCTCTCCAATCTTTAGCTAGGTCAACAGAGCTCAGGAATGCTTTGGGTGGGGTTGCTGACAAGGTGATTTGCCGGTTGTGGTAGTAAAGGAGAGGACAAGGAGAGGAGGAAGGTCCCCAAGGAGGCCAGGAGACCGTGAACTCCCTGGGAATCAGCAGACATGGAGGGGGTGTTTGGACCTCCATATGCCATGGACTTGTGCAGGGAGGTCCCCACCACATCACCTCCCCTCAGGGGGCAAGTGGCATCTGGGTTACACGAACTTTGCACAAGCATAAAGCTGAGACGTGAGAGAGACCTTAGAACTTGCCCTGCAAATCTATCTCCATTCCTTTCACTTTATAGATGAGGAAACTGAGGCCCAGAGTGGCACTGTGCTCATTCAAAACATTCCCTCTGTGGCAGATGCTGTCGGTTGACTCAGTCAACACCCCTTCTCCCTGGTCTGCCTCCCCTGCAGAGGCTGGAAAAGCTTCATTCTCGCATTGAAGCTACAGGTGGTCATATGAAGAGTTCTGGTCAATAGGATGGAAGTGGGAGACTTTACTTTCCTTCTTGCCTTGAATGCACTAGTGATGCCTGGAGTTGAGGTCGCCGTCTTGGAACCATGAGGTGAAACTTTTGAACAAAAGCAGCTACCTCCTTCCATACTCACTTTTTGTTTAAGCCACTTTTAGGTTTTCTATTACTTGAAGCCAAAACGTCCTTGGTAGATGCTTCCTTTCTGGAGCCCCCTCCTCCCACTGCCATGTTAAGCAAATTGTCCAAAGTCACGTGTTTGTCCTCCCTTCAACAAAAATTTACTGAGTGTTGATATGTGACAGGCACTGTGCTGGGCAGCGTGGCAGGAGAGACAAGGGCAATCAAAAGCAAACATAGCCTCTGTGTTTCTGGGGCTCATAGCTTAGTGGGGGAGGCATACATAAACCGACAAATGAATCTGACATTACAAACTGCAGTAAGTGCAATCAAGCAGAGAATACCATTCTATAAGAGCCTGAGTGAGACGAGGGATTAGAGGCTCCAAGAAGGTGATGCTAGAAGCATTTATTAGGTGGATCTTGAGGAGAGCAATCCAGGCTGCCAGAACAGCATATGCAGAGGCCCTGTGGTGGGAGGGACAGAGCGTGGCACTTGAGAGGGACAGAAGGACGGCCAGTGTGAATGCTGAAAGAAAAGACCTCAGTCGGAAGGAGAATGTGAAAACTACCTAGTAGGAAGCATCTCGGAGGTTTCTGAGGAGGCAGGAGGGAGGGGGAGGGCCAAGGCCCAGGAGATGGATACACCTTGTTCAGAGAAGCAACAGGTGAGAGGGTGGTTGTGGGCACAGGGAGGTCTGTAGATTTCCTAAAAGGAGCCAAGGCGATTCCCAGATGATCACTTGAGAGGCAGCATAGCAGAGCTAAAAGCGAGGTCTGCCCCTCTCAGCTGTTGGTAAGACACTCAGCTTCCCGGTAGAAAATGGAGGTGGGTTATAGTAATAGGCCCACTGCACGGGTTTTCCGTGAAGGATGCATTCACGTACACAAAGCACTTAGAACAGTGGCAGGCACGTGGTAAGCTCCTGTTACCTCTTATTATCGGTCTATATTCTCTGTGTTCTCCAGGGCCAGGTCATGAAGGGGTAGGTGAGTCTGAGACGAGTGGAAAATGGAGACAATATGAAAGGAGCACGGTGGAGCGGGAGAGAATGGGTTGCCTAGGTGGGCTGGCCAGGCAGCACTGGGGCAGGGGGTGGTGACCTGACTGTGCCCCACCTCCACATTTATGTGACTTTGTGCCTCCTTGCTCGGCTGCTTGGTACAGGACCAGGAAGACCCAAGCCCGCCTTTCCTCACACCCAGCACACACCGGGCAGGCTGCTTCCGTAGATCCTAATCTGTACTAACCAGCATGGTGAACAGGGAACAAGGAACAGGACCTCTCTATGCCTCAGTTTCCCCATCCTTAAAACGGGGATGATAAATCCTGCCTCAGCATAATTAGGATTGAGAGTGACAGTGTCAACAAAGCTGCTGACACACAGGGAGTGAAGCTAACGTGCCCCCTAGGGCTGCAGGGGCTGACCGAGTGGAGAGTCCCCTGGAGCTCACCAGGGTGGGCCGCTGCCTCTGCCCACAGGGCACTCCAGGAGTCACGCTTCCAGTGGGCGGTAATGGGTTCTTGTGTGAAAGCTTTTTGTCCTTCTGGGACATTCCCATTTCCACACATGTCAGGGGATCTCCCCGAGAGGAAGCAGGCTGAGGAGGGGGGCTCCTGACCTGGTGCCTTGGCCTACGGGGCCCTGGCCTACAGGGCCTGGCTTAACAGAGCCAGCTGGGGCCCTGGTGCTGGCTGGAGGCTATAGGCACATTGCTGGCTGCCGGCCTGAGCCCTTCTCTCTGGTGTGCCCCTGCCCAGAGGGGCAGCCATCTGCACTCACCCGTCTGCAGGGCTTGCTGCTCCTTCAGCAGGGCCACCTCCTGGGCCAGGCTGTCCAGCTGGCTCTTGAGCTCCTCAAACATCTTGGGGGTCACGACATCTAGGATGAGTCAGAAGGAAGTAGAGACAATCACAAACACGTGAGGAAAGGACGGGGGTAGGGCAGGGACTGGGCGGGGTGGACTCTGCCTCTGTCAACCACCAGGAGACAAGGGGACAAGGGGAAATGACCCCCCTCGACCTTGCTATCTTGGCATGCCTTCTCTCTCTCTGTCCCTGCTGGTGGTAGTCTAAGTAATTGCTCGTGGTTTTCCTTCTGCTGGGAGGCCCCATCCTACACTTGCTCTTGCTAAACTGAGACCTATACTACATCTGTTTAGGAGTGTTGCTGGGGATCAGATGGGGTTAGGATTGGCAGGGGCTGGAGTGGGGGTGCAGGCAGCGCCTTCAGTGACCCCCAACCCCCCAACCTCCCTCCCAGCTCCAGAGGAGAACAGAGCACGGGAAGCAGGGCCATGGGCCCTTGAGACCTCCCAGGTTCACCTCCCCAGGCTGGAGCAACAGGACACGACCAGCAGGGCAGGCACTTCAGCCTGGGGCCGAGGGCGGCGGCACAGGGAAGCGTGTGCGTGGGCTCTGAGACTGCATGGAAGTGGGTGACCTGAAGCAAGTTGCTCAGCCCCTCTGAATTCAGTTTCCTCATCTGTAAGATGGGATAATAACACCACCTCGAGGACTCTGGAGAAGACTAGAGGCTAAGGGAAATAAAGCTTGTGACCAGTGCTGGGCTCATAATCAACCCTGTGACCTGCGCAATGTGTCTGTTCTATACCACCACTGCTTCACAGACAGGAAACTGAGGCCAGACTGAAGCAGCTCGCCTAAGATCGCAGAGCCAGCAGTTGGCAGGGCTGGCCCGAACCCAGGGCCACATGGCTCCAAGCTTGCTCTTCCCTAGCTCTGTAACAGCACACAGATTCCTAACATGAGCATCCTGAGCACAAAGGCCCTGATGGGAGCCGGTTGTGCAGTAGTCGGCAGCGGCAGGTAGAAACGTCCATGTGTGTAAGTTGAGAGCCTGTGCGTGGACCCGTCATTCTGAAATCCCAGAGGCTTCAGGAAATGCTGCGCTCAGCTTGAGTAGAGGGTGGAGAAGCACTTCCACAGTCCATTTGGCTGTACTGGCCTAAAGTCCTGTCATGACGGGTGAGGTCAGAGCCTTTGCAGGGGAATCACAGGAATCACAAACACAGGCAAGAAACATGCTTGTATGTACAGAAATCGGTGATGTAACTTATCAAATATGAGGAAAAAACACCAGATGAGCAAGACAAAAAAGGGAGGATTTGGGCTGATAAATAGCCTGACTGGGTTACATGTGCCTCACACTGGGCCTCTGCCTCAGCCAGATCACAGCCAGATCTGTACCCTGTCACATGATGCACCAGCACAGGGTGCCATGTAAGGTTATGCAAGCTGGGTACTGTACAAGGGCATTCAGCTGAGGAGACAAGTGGGGGCCCATTTCTAGCCCCTAAGCCTTGCCCTGGCTATGCTGTCTGACCAGACCAGAGAAAGGGTTGCCTTTCTATAATGTATCAGCTCGGAGGGGAAACCTTTTGTAATTTGCACCAAGGTGCCTCCAGGGACTGGCCAAGGAGCAAGGTGCTAACAGTGCTCCCCCCACAGGAAGGTGTGGGAGCAGGGGCATCTCTACAGCTCTGGGCAAGGAGTCAGGAGGCCCTTGTGCCGCCCTCTATCTCTGAGCCTCAGATTCCTGATGCAAGTTACTGAAATGGATGCCCTCCAGGTGCCCCAGTCCCTCTCTAAGGGCCTGTGACCCCCAAGGAGGCCATCCTGCCCACCTGAGCTCCTCCGCCAGATGTGGCCACGTGGCCCCTGGAGCTCCAGCTGCCCGTGCCCTCCCTGCATGCCTCACCTCTGCCTAACCCCACACTGCCGCTCAGGCCACACGCCACACCATGAGCAGATGAGCTCCCAGAAGCACCCTGGGCTCTCCCCCTCTCACCTCACCCTGGGGGCTGGGATGGGGCCTTAGCCACCCTTTCCTCCCTTTGGCAGTCTCACCAACTTGTTCTCCGCCACTCACCCCAGGCCCCAGCTGGTCTCCTGGGCACGAGTCCCTCCTCTGGACTCCCTTCCCCCTTTTGTGCACTGGCCCCTACAGCCAGATTCTTCCTGTGATCCTCAACCCTGGCTGTTCCCGGGAATCGCTGGAGACTTGTGGAAAAGGCAGATGCTGGGGCCCAACCCCTGATTCAGCATTTCTGGGACTGGGGCCCAGGTATCTGGGTTTTAGTGTGTTCCCCAGGTGACGCCGATGCCTGTGTGAGAATCACTGCCGCTCTCGCATCGATTTGCATCTTAAGAGCAGGGATGGTGATCCCCTGATGTGGTGCTTGGCACACATATTGGCCCTTTGTGGAGAAAGAGTTCTGTAAGCATCTGTTGTGTGTGTGGCAATAGGTGGAAGGAAGAAAACCCAAGGTGAGTCGGACCGCTGAAGTGGGTTTCAGTGAGAGGCCGAGCGGAACAGTACGCTCCGCTGTTGCTGGCGGCTGTTCTGTGGGTCTCTGGGATCCCGGACCTCCAGGGGCACCTCCATGGAGACCACTTGGGGCCAGGGGTCTAGTGACAGCTGGAGAGGACCAAGGCATCATGTGGTCTGATCTTCTCCTTTTTCACATGATCAAATACATGATTTACATGATGAAATAAATAAATACTATATCTTTGGTAATTGAGAAATTAGCAACTATTTTCCACATTCAAAAATTTATTATTTGCCTTTGGTACTGTGCATCCTTTACAAAGAATGTCCCTTGGTGGCAGTTTTAGCTAATGCTCGTGGGCACAACCATGCATGGTATTGAGTCTTCTCTCTCTCTCTCTCTTTTTTTTTTGTGAGGAAGATTAGCCCTGAGCTAACATCTGTTGCCAATCCTCCTCTTTTTGCTGAGGAAGACTGGCCCTGAGCTAACATCCATGCCCATCTTCCTCTACTTTACGTGGGACGCCTGCCAGAGCATGGCTTGATGAGCAGTGCATAGGTCCACACCCAGGATCCGAACCTGCGAACCCCGGGCCACCAAAGCGGAGCACGCGAACTTAACCACTGCATCACTGGCCCAGCCCCTGAGTCTTCTCTCTCTTTTTTTTTTTTTTGTGAGGAAGATCAGCCCTGAGCTAACATCCATTGCCAATCCTCCTCCTGTTTTTTCCCCAAAGCCCCGGTAGATAGTTGTATGTCATAGTTGCACATTCTTCTAGTTGCTGTATATGGGACGCGGCCTCAGCATGGCCGGAGAAGCGGTGCATTGGTACACGCCCGGGATCCGAACCTGGGCCACCAGCAGCGGAGCGCGCGCACCCAACCGCCAAGTCAGGGGGCTGGCCCTGAGTCTTCTCTTTTTAATAAACATTTTCTAGAAGGTAATATATGCATATAATTAAAAAAAAAGAAAAAACACAGTTCAAAAAGTTAAAATCTCCTTCCCAATTGAGACTGCCCCCAGCTCCCCAGTTTTTCTTCCCAGAGGTAATCACTGTTACTAACTCTTGTGGATCCTTCCAGAAAAATTCCATGCGTATACAAGTAAATACGTATTTTTATATAAATCTCTTTTTCAAAACATGTTGGCATACTATCCATTCTGTTTTAAACTTTTTTTTGTTTACCTTATAAACTGAACCTTGGAGATTATTTTCCATCAGGACCCAGATCTGCCCCATTCTTTGTGGCAGCCCTGTGGGTCTCCGTGGTCCTGATGTACCTTTCTGTACGTCACTAGTCCATGGCCAACGGGCAGCTGTGTGTTGACAGAGGAGGCTCGGAGAGGGGCCTGAGTGCGGCCCACGTCCCCTTGCCCTGCCTCTTCTGTGCTCTTGGCCCTGGCCGCCTGGTTCTTGGCCTAAATCTGCACTGTCGTCCCCTGGAGCTCTCTCTCCTGGCCTCTGAGCCCTGGGGGGTGACAGCCCGGGTCATTGCCATGGCGTTTCACTAATGTTGTCTCAACACAGCTCAGGGTGACTCACTGCAGGCAGGGCTCCTGCTTGCCGCAGCCAAGGCAACCCAAGGACACCCCAAACCCCAGAGGTGACAGAGGGAGAGAAAAGCTGCTTCCAGTGTCCAGTTTGGGTTTGAAAATTTTTATTTCCTCAAGGCTGTGATACACTATATAACCGAGAATTAACTTGTTCCGGTTTTTTTTTTCCTGTGCATCAAGTATATCCCATGCGCCAGGCACTTTACATGTTTTGTATGATTGAATCCTCATGACAAGCCTCTGAGCCAATGCCACTATCCCCATTTTACAGTTGAGAAACCCAAGGATTGGAGATTGCAAAGCAGAGCCCATCAGCACTCCCTGATGAAAGTCGAGCATCTCCAGACTGCCAAGCCAAAGGTTTGATTTCTTTAAAATATTGGGAGGTGGGAAGGGGAGGGGGGGGAGGAGTGGATGTCAGTTTAGATGATCTGGAAGGTTCTTTCTGATTCTGAAAGTCAGTGATCCTTATAGTTCTGACAACTGCCCCTGCTATTGGAGAACTCCCCCAGGCCCCAGGGGGCACTTTAAAGTTCTTTGGAGTCGTCAAGAAGGAAAGTGAAGGGAAAGGAGCCTGAGGACCAGTGAAGAGGGTGACCAGCTCCCTGGAAGATGGGGAGGGGCCCCGCCCCCTTCCTTACCTTTCTTGGCATTTGCAGCCTTCTTGACCTTGAGGCTTGGCTGCTCGGTGGTGACCTGCGTCAGGAGGGAGAAGAGGCAGAGGAGCAGGTAGGCCCCCCAAAGTGCCATGCTGCTGCACCGGCTGGGGCTGCGGCTGCTGCCTGCAGTGGGCCTGGATAGGAGAGCAGTGGCAGCTGCCGCCCAGGCTGCACGTCTTAAGGCAGCGGCCACAAGGACCTCTGTCCAGGAAACCCTCCCAGAGTTGGCTGCAAGCGTGCCAAAAAAAAAAAAAAAGCCTGCACAAGGAGGAAGGCCTGGGAGCCGCAGAGCCTCGCCTCCCGGGGAACGCCCACCCAGCATCCTGGCCCTGCCTTCTAAAACAGAGTCATTATTTTCTAGGATTCTGAAATATCCATCAGAGTCATCATAGCTCGCATCTGTTGAGCTGTCACCTTGGGCAGGTGCGGGGTCATGCCCTGCCCTGGCATTAGCTCATGGAGGCCTCACACCAGCAACATGGGGGAAGTACTGTCATTTCCCCATTTTACAGTTGAGGAAACTGAGGCTCAGTGAGGTTAAGGGACTTGCCCAACCTACCCAGCTCTTATGGGCAGTGCGGGTATTTGAACCCAAGCAGGGTGACTCCAGAACAGTTACACTACGATGCTTCTTTACAGAGTGATCTCAGGCTGACTGCCCATTTGTCTAGAATGTTTGTTATCATTATTTTGTGGTTCTGTCTCTAGGCACTAGATGCAGCTTTGGTTAAAAATACAAGGGAGTCCTCTCCTTTCTTCACCTTCCATTTCTCAACCATCCTATCCTGAAGCAGAGGTGACTATGGCGGGAGAGGGGGAGGCCATGGTGCCCCAGAGTGTGTCAGAGATGGAGCAGGGAGAAAAGAATGTCCCGGAGAGGGGCAGCCTGGTGTGGGTGTCAGGGCCCAGCAGGGTGAAGGGGGGCATCACCAGAGGGGCAGAGGCCCTACATGGAGTATTGAAGTCCAAGCAAGGAGAGGAGGGGATCTGCATGGGAAAGAGGGTGGTGGCAGACATGAGAGATTAGTTGCATACAGGGGCATCCATCGAATAAGCAAATCTATTAAAGACAATGGGAGCCAGGTTTCTCATTGTCAGACAAGGGAGGTACAAATACAGAGAGAGAGAAAACTAGAATGAATTCTATGATGTAGGACTAAAATTGGAGCCATCAGTGTGCAATTGTGGACTTCAACATATAAAGATGAATCCATAAATTTAGACGGGAATGTGCGCATCTGTTCCCCAGCTGTCACTGGGAGGGCCTGGGAGCAGCAACCCCTGCAAAGCTTCCAGCATTCCTAGCATCCACGCACGGGCTTCTAAATACAGTTTTCCACTAAAAGGAACCAGAGTACCTCAGGGAAATGATGATTTCAAGGCTGGGGCAGGGAAAGTCGAAAATGAGCCAGGAACAAGTTGTTTTGCCAGAAAGCAAGGAAGTGCTTAAAGAGTGACGGGGACATGCCAGCAGGACACAGAGCCAGCTTGAAGGAGCTTCCCAGGGACAGGGACAGTTTGAGCATGAAAATAGTGATGGGAACAATAAAACCACGAGTGCACGGAGATATAAATAAATGAGTGAATACACCGAAAGTCTGATGAGGAATGGGATATTTTCATAGTCTCAAGTTACTTGCCCACAAGACAGTTATTACTACAAGGAGAAAAAGAGTAATGTCAGAGTGGAGAAGCCAGGCAGACATCACCTCAGTCAAGTGACCAACAGCATCAACACTGGGACAATGGAAAGCCTGTAGCCCCTGAGCACCTGATGGGGTGCAGGGAGAACGCAGCATCACTTCCGTGAGATTCCTGCCAACGAAGCATCACACAAACCCAAACGAGAGGCTTTCCACAAGATGATGGCCCTGTAATCTTCCAAACTGCCCAGGTCGTGTCTGAAGAATGGTTTCAGACTGAAGGAGACTGAAGACACACGACAACAAATGCAACGTGTGATTCTGGACTGGCCCCTTCCGCTCTCAAGGACGCCATTGGAGCAACTGGAGAAACCTGAGGGGTCTGAGGAGCACGCGGCAGTGACATCTCCCGGTTAGCGTCCCGATTTGAATGGTGTGCTGTGAGTACACATGAGAGTGGCCTTGTCTGTAGGAAACACACACTGAACCACGCGGTCGTGATGGGGCATCAAGTCGACCACCTATTCACAAATGCTGCAGGGGATGAATGTGCTTTATGCTGTAGCTGCAAATTTTCTGTGAGCTTGAGATTGTTCAAAAAGAAAATGCAGTACCACGTAATTCAGGCTCTTCTTCCAGGGACCCCACCTTGCCGCATCTGATTTAGGGAGGGATCTGTCCGCAGCCTGCCTGGGCTGGCCAGGGGCACTGCGGTCACGCCAAGGGCGGGAGCCCGGGACAGGCAGTGAGCACTTGCATGGCCCTTTGATGACACTGGGCTCCATCTCTCACATTCTCAAGAGTGGGAGAGGGTTTTATATTGCAGCTGGGCCCTCAGTGAGTCAGCTGGGGCCAAAGATTACACAACCTAACAGGGGCCTTGCTTCCTGGAACTCTGGGTGGGTAGCACGTGGCAAGAGAAAATTACTATTCTTTTTTCTAACTCCTTTGCTTTCCTGGTTTTCTCACCTTGGCTCTTCGGCAATAGGGAAATGGAAGGAGTTTGTTTCCAAGTACGAGGCGGGCAGAGGCCCCACGTTTTCCAGGCTGGGCCTGATTGTTGAGGTCCTGCCCTAGATATGCTGGAGAGGAGGTCCCAGAAAAGCTCTGCTGCAGCAATTCAGAAAACTGAGAACCCCTGGGTGCTGCTCCGTGTCTCGTCACAGGAGCCATGCTGTCAGGACACCCAGGAACTGTTAGCACCCCACCAGTCCCTCATTCACCCCACAATGTGCCTGGGCCTGTGTGAGGCCCTGGGGGTTCAACGTGAGGGGCCCACTGTGCCATCCGGACTGCAGTGGGCTCTCACAGGGCTAACGCAGAAGGGCGGGGCAAGGAAAGAAGGTGGCCCCAACCTGAGGAAGGGACACAGAGGGGTTGGTCAGGGGAGGGGAGAGGAGGGACGGTGGACAGTGCTCCAGGCAGAGGAAACAACACGTTCTAGATCCTGTGAGGAAGAAATCAAGCTGGAGGTGTAGAGGGGACCAGATCTCAAAGGGCTGTTCCAGCCTGTTAAAAGACTTTGGACACAAGCCTGGAGGCAGTGGAGGCCCACGAAGAACCAAGCTGGGGAGGGCAGTGATCAGACCACATACAGGAGGGAGAATTTTGGGTGCTGAGCGGGGGATGGGTAACAGAGATGTAACAGGGAGACATTAAGCATCTGTCCAACATTAGCCCCCAAGCAAGGTGGGGGCACACTTCACTGGGGGAAGGTGATTTTTACTACCTAACCTGGCAAGTGAACTCTCTGCACTTCAGGGAGAAGGCTTTCTCAGAGAGCTTTCCTTAAGCAGTGAGCACTGTCTTCGGTTTTTTCCCCCTGCAGGTTCTCACGAGCATGTGCGTGTGTGTGTATGCATGTGTGCACTACACAGAGCTCCTCTACAAGCACCTGGGAGTCACCTGCGCTTGTTAAAATGACTTATGTGAAATTACGGCAGGCAAGTGCCTTGGTTTGGGGCCTCTTCAGGTTTAGGCTTGGCATGTCTCCCAAGGAGAGTCTACCTAGCCGCAGAGATACACCAACAGCCAGCCCTGAGAGAAGACAAGTCCATCACACACTTCAAACTTGTACCCATCACCATGCGTGTAGCGCCCTCAGAATGAAGTTTTACAATAACTCTTGTCTTCTGAATAGCATGTTGCTCTGCATCATATTTGTGTGTGTTAAAAGCGCTATTTCATTAAATGTAAAGATTTAAAATATATCACCATTTTTTGTAACGCTGTTTTGGCATTCATCATTTTTTTGTTTCAGGGGGCCTCAAAAAATGCAAGTGGTCCACTGTCTCCCAACCTCTGAGTTACAGAGCAGTTGAAGAGGCTGTCTGGTATAACCACCCCTCGATAGGGGACGCCCCCTTCCACTGAGCCTGTCAAACGTCACCATGTTCTTGCTTAAACCCTTCCTGGGACGAGCAGCTCAGTGATCTGCAAAGCAGCTGGCTCCATCATTTAGACACTCAGCTTGTTATCAAGTACCCCTGTGGTGAGGCAGGCAGGTCTCCGAAACATCACCCAGTGATCCCTGGCACCAGCCTCCGGAGCAATCGTGTAAGAGGCCAGCAAATATTTGAAACTGGCCATCGTGTCCTTCTTTGACTCTCTCTTCTCCATGTTCCTTTCCCCTTTTTCTCCCAACTGGCCTCTACGATATGGTTCCTGGACGTTTTTAACTTTCAGGAAAATCACCTTTGGACAGAAGTCTGCTTGTTACTGTCCTCGTTGTGGTGCAGCTCCCAGAACAAAACATGTTCTCAAGGGGCTTGCCCGTGGGCAGGAGCCTGTCTCCTGTGGTCAGACTGGACACTATTTAGAAAGCCATAGATACACGGGCTCTTTGCAGCAACCATGCCTCATTTGTTGCCAGTGTTGAGCTTATGGCCATTAGATACACAGATCCCCTTGTCCACCCCCAGCTCTCGCTGGCCAGGTGAGAACTGCCACCGTGGCCACCTGCAATGGACTCACCAACGGCCCTGGTGGAGTCTATGGATCTCATCCTTCCAGCAGGAAAGATCTGCTGGCACTGTCCACGAGGCCTTAACCAGTGGTAGGGCAGCAAGTGGCAGTGGTTTCAGCCAGGAGGACACTGGATTAATGTTCATGAGTGACCCACCCTCAAGGAAATGTCCCTTAACTAACACACCACCCTCAGGGCTCAGTCTTTTTTTTTTTGAGGTCGCATTGATTTATAACATTGTATAAATTTCAGGTGTACATCATATTTCACCTCTGTATAGGCTGCATGTGTTCCCCACCAAAAATCTAGTTGCCATCTATCACCATACACGTGCGCCCCTTTACCCCTATCACCCTTCCCCCATCCTCCCTCCCCTCTGGTAACCACCAATCTGTTCTCTGCATCTATGTGTGTGTTTATCTTCCACATGAGTGAAATAATATTGTATTTGTCTTTCTCATCTGACTTATTTCACTTAGCATAATACCCTCAAGGTCAATGAATGGATAAAGATGTGGTATACATATATACAAAGGCCCCATCTTTTCATACAAATTTCCCTGCACAAAGAATGATCTTGATAACAAAGCCCAGAGGCAGAAAAAATCAGAAGAGAGCTCTAAAAGGCACATTTCAGTT